TAAATAACATTTTGTCCAAATTGTATAAAGTGTCTAAATTTCTATTAATTATTTGAAATTCTATTTCTTACGATTAATATGAATGAGAGAATATAGAAAAGGTACAATTATAGGAAAGGTTTCAACATCACATACTACTTCATGTTATAAAATATGTATTTGAAATACTAATTATATCTTTGCAAAATCAATTCAAGTGTCTCAACTGGTATTTCATTTAATACAGAAATTAATTACTGTTTGAAATGAAGCATATGTTAAAAGTTGAGAAAAATAGTATTTACAAATATTTATATTTCTGTATATATTATTATATGATATTATTATTATTTAATTATTATATTATTATTTCTATATATATTATTATATAGATAAATAACATATAATATATATTATAGAGATAAGATAAATAATATAAGATATATATTATAGAGATAAGAGATAAATAAATAAAGATATATATCTTCTGAGATTTTCTGAATATGCAGAACAACAAATCATGCAACAGAGCGAAGTATACGCTATTGATCGAAGTAGCAAGAAAGAATTTCACACACCGTATGATATTTATCAAGAAATGACCTCAATTTATGAAGAAGTGGTTTTCCTTTACTTTAACTTGCATCCCGTATAATTTGCATTATATTAATGCGACGATCACCTGAACGGTGGATGAGCGTTAATTACGCCTACGTGAGAAGTCACGGTCGAGAAATCAGGCGGTTAACAGGTTAAGGTCCGCGAGGTTTAAGGTCGCGGTAGGAGAGATCCGCTCGAAATAGTAGCAGAACAAGTACAAGGAACGGTCCCGCCCTCTCGCCGACAATTATTGACTCCATTTGTCTCCCTCATTGTCCCATGCGTCTTACTTTATGCTAACATTGCGCGCGTGTTGCATAGCCGACGATGGTTATCAGTGAACTGTGTCTACCGGCGCGTTTTAATTACAGCCAGATCACCTAAGCAAAGTTGCTCTGAAAATCCTGACTGTTCCTCGAGAAAATTCGATTGCTTGTTCTGATAATTCGAGAAACTAATTTATTTACTGCGACACACAATTCAACTGCGGATCTTTGTGCAAAATGGGAATAGCCTGCATCTGTTGCAAAAAAAACAGAAGTAGCTTAGAAATTTCGTTCCATCTTTAATCATTTGAATGGGTCGATAGTATCATGTCGACATTTTTAATTTGTTTTTAATTACAGATCGTCATCGTGATAAATGCATGATTAGAACTATTTTAATGTCGCACATTTTTTTTACTCCACTGCAAACTTCTCACGATATATTCTACAAAAGAAAAAAAGAGATCTTTCAATTTCAATTTGATCAGAGCCTTAACGCTTTAACTCAACAATCACAATAGCTTCGCAAAATTAAATGTAATCGAGTTTATTTAACGGAACAGGGTAAAATTATATAATAGAATAAAACTTGGAGCGTGTAATATTGAACGCTGCTTCAAAATTTAGCACACTGGATATATCAGCGTAAAAATTAATATGCACGCAATAAATGATAATTAGATTGCAATTCTCCTCTTGTCAATTTAAATTATTTAAAAACAACATGCCCATGCTCTTAATTAATTCTTCCGACGTTTTTACTATTTTGTCTTTCACGCTATCGTTCTATTTTATAAATCCATAGAATTCACAGTTTATTATAACGAGTGATCGAAACAACATTTCCCTCGTCGATGACTGCCATGAACAACTGAAATCAATTTTCTTGACGAACAATAATCGCCGGCAAAGAAATGTATGCAACTGAACGCATTTTAGTCGAACAAATAATTATTATGCTACGACGTTTTTCCATATCAACCGCCGAGGTACTTCCAATTAATGCAAACATACGCCGACATTTTTTGCCGCCATTTTCATAGACCACCGGCATCCTTCCCGCAATATACGGCGCCAGTAGAACGTTTACAGATTACTCCCTCGGGATTTATCCAGGATTTCTGCGGGCCGGTATTCCGGTTGTTAGTTCTCTCTTAGCTCGCGTAGAAGCGCCAGGCGGAATGGAGAGCTCTCGACGAT